ACAAAAGAGACCTGAGATATCAGGGGCATGATTAACTGAAGTGACCTTCGGAGGGTGCGGGGAGGGGGGGGGGCAGGGCACAGCCTGCATGTAAGGAAGGTGTACTGAGCACAGGAGGACAGCCGAGTTGGGAGATCTTTTCTGTAGGTCATCGGCCTTTTGCTGGACTTGGGACGAGTTCCCCAAAAGGGGATCAGAAAGAAGGCCCACATTCCCAGCCCTCACTATTTCAGGGCTCACGCTCACACCCACCTGGAACCTTTGCTGTACACGATCAGATCCCCCTCATTACATGGGAGCTTTGACCCCTTCACTTCTCCCCACACGCAGGTGCTCAATTACCTCCCAGCGTCCATGTTATGAGGGAACTCTCCCTCACCATAGGGGGAGGGCTCCCTCTTTCTTTAGACCCCTCACTATAGGGGCTCAATATCCCACAGCAAGAGTCTCAGACACCTCCCTTTCAAGGCTCCCCCATCTCCAGGCAACCCCATAGGGGGCTCAGACCCCACCACCTGTCTCCAGGCGTGCAGCCCCACCCCCCAGTAGGCTTCAACCCCATATTGCCATCTCCAGGTGTGCACCCCCTTCGGGAGCTCTGACACCACCCCACCCACGGTCATGCTCACACACATAAGAGCCTCTGAACCTATCTCCAGGCACCCCCCTATAGCGAGCTCAATCACCTTCATTCCTCCCCCCGCCCAGACACGCACCTTCCATAGGAGGCTCAGACCCTCCGTCCAGACACGCACCTCCCCCCCATAGGGGGCTCAGACCCCCGCCCAGACACGCACCATCCATAGAGGGCTCAGGACCCCGCATCAGACCCCAACCCTTGTTACCTATCCCGGCCTCGACCAGCAGCAGCAAGCAGGAAGAAGCGTGACCCCACGAGTGACCTTTCAACTCTAGCCCGCATGCGTCCTCCCGCCATCTTTGTGAGGGGCAATGAAAGTGGAAGGACGCCCGCCTCACCGCCATGTTTGTGAGGGGCTCGCACTCGTAATGGAGAAAAGAGCGTGCCGCCATGTTTGTGAGGGGCGACCGCTGACATAGGAGGAAGGAGGCGCCATCTTTGTGAGGGTCGCCTACTACACTGGGGAAATAATTGCTTCTAGTGGGCAGGGAGGGAAACTGAGGCAGGGCACTGACTTGTCATGGTGACAAAGGAAATAAGTGGACAAATCAAGCATAGAACCCAGGAGTCCAGACTCCCAATCACTCTCCTCCCACTACTGTGATTAGTACCTACCTACGCTAATGCCACAATCACCCTGCCAACCAACCCTCTAGATCACACTGGCATCTAAATGCCCATGCTAAGAATTGTACCGTAGACTGTCACTAGCAAAATTCCCCAGGATGAGAGGAGGTAAATGCTGCTAGAAGCTTACTAGGGGCATCCATGGTTTAAATACCTGATGCCCCTCATCTTATTCTTTGCAAATCAGTGTTGCCAACTCTTGCAATACTTACTGTTTTTCTTAAAAGCCCCAACTCCTGGAGGATATGGATTGCATGAGATTTCACTGTTTTTTTTTTATTTGAAAGAAAAAAGTATATTTCTAGCTCTCGTTTTAGAGAAAAGCTTGAGAATGTGACCTGGATGCATTCCAAAGGCTCAGAAACCAAAACACAAAACATTATTTTTTTAAATCTCATAAATTTTAGGCCACTTTCATGATTTTCTCAGGGACTGACTCTTGATTTTTGAATGCTTGGGGATTGGAAATACTTGCAACTGCAATTTTGCACCCACACAACTATACACTCAGACACAATTTTTCAGACACTCTTTACAGCGCTGTGATGTATAATCACCTGGTTTCCAGGAGGCAGCCAAGCAGCTACTTGTCAAAGTATGGTACATCCAATTATTTGACCCCATAAAACTAGGCCTGCAATTATTTGCTGGAGAAAAATCCAAAGCTGCTTTTCAAAATCAAGCCCTGGCTCTATAAAAACCAAAACAGTCCTTTGCTCCTGTCAGTGGCTGCTTCCTGCTAGGAAAGAGCCTCAAGTATCTCCTCACTAGTGCTAAGTGAAAATAGAAAAATCTATAGTGTTTCTGGGCTTTAATTTAACACCTCTGCAGGAGGGGAGGTATATAGGCAATGAAAGTGGGCTCTCCAAGCCTAAGGGAAAATCCCACTAGCTGAAATTGTTGCTATCAAATTCATTTTTCACGCATCAAGATAAAGGTGTTTTTTAAAACCAGCCCCTCAGAAATGAAAGGTTCCTTCATGACATCTGTTGTGCCATGAAACTGCAGTAATGGAGCATGTTAACACTTCAGGTGAAGAGGGGTAAGTAAGGGTGCTGCTGCAGTCGGTCCTCGTCCACCTCCATATCCCTTTGTCCTGTTTCCTGCAGTATCCACACCATCTCTACATTGTGCTTGTACGGTCACCCCTGAATGTGCCTGTAAAACCCATTCATTGGAGGGAAGAGAGAACTCAGTTTGCCAAAATTTGATCCTATTTGAAAATCTGGGTTCTAGATTTAGAACAGGACTGCTGAGGCTCTGTTTATTAGCTCTGTCCAAACACAAATTTGGGGCTGTTACATGATTTCTTTTGTTAAATTTTGTTTTGTAAGAGGCTAGAAGCCACTCAAGAATGACTTTTAAACAAGAATCTCTATTCTCTGCATAGCACCGGCTTTCTTTTCATTAGAAATAGATGCATGGGTCAAACTCGGATTTCACTTTTCCTAGTGTAAATCTGGAGTCAGAAATAGAAAGACCCCATGTTGACACTGGTGTAAAGGAGACCAGAATTTGGCTCATCATTTTCAATAAGAGTTCCCTTGAAAAATAACGGTATACATGGGACCTGTTCAATGGAGCTATGCTGCTTTACATCAGCTGAGAATCCCCAGTTAGATACACAGACATTTTGCAAAACTCACAAAAGTTTCACAAAGCCACACTTACCAAAAAAAAAAAATTTACTAGAAGTTTGATAATCTCTCATGCACCTCTAGATTCATCCTTTCCTAATTAACCTTAGTTTTCATTATGCACTGTAGGTGGGGAACAGAACACAGAGAGGAAATTTCAGATTTGCTTGTCCAGAACAAGCGGATGTTAGTAATGCCCAATTACAAACCTTTTAGAAGGGTCACATCTGCTCCTCAGGTGAATTCTCCCCTGTGCTGCAGGCCAGTCCAAGGTCCATGAACCACTTTAGGCCCACTTAATAAGAATTAATGGGTGACTTTCACCCATCCAGAATAAAGAGATTTAGGGTCAGCTTGGGCTACGCCTGAGCTGTTTCCTACCTCTGTGCTCCTACTCACACACGCACCCACACAGAGCCAAAGCACAGCTGGCATATATGGCCATTACACATCACTAAATCTAAGTGAGTTGTAAGTTGGTGCGACTTACATGCTGCGGGAGCACAGGGACTAGGTCATAGCTGATCGCAGCTACACTGGGATAACACAAGCAGAAAGATGGTGCCCAAGGTATCTAGGTGCCAAATCAATGTACACTCATAAGCAGATGCACACTTAAGCAAATACTCACACACGAAGATTCACACAAATGCTCACTGACGTGACCATTCACATGTACCCCTCACACCTGCTGTCTCCCTGTCCCCATTCTGCTTCCCTGGCAATGAGCCTAGGGCTGAGGGAAGCCCAAGGCTAGGGTAGGTGAACTATCCTTTGGCAGTGTTGCAAGTTCTACCAGGCTCTGGCTGTAACAGAGGGGACAGTGACAGAGAGACATCATTAAAGGCTCTGCCGGGCAGCTGTGGCAGCATCCCGGCTGCCCTTGGATTGCTGACAGATAGATGGATGATGTAATTACCAGTATCTTGGTTACCTCTACTCAGTGTGCAACTGAGCGAGTCCCAGCTGCAGCCCAGGGCATGCTGTTCTGAAACATGATGGGGCAACTGTGGGAGAGAATGGAGAGACTTCCATTCAACCTGAAATCCCTTCACTTGACTGTCCGCTTTTTCCATCCAAGCCACTGGGAATGGAACTATTCCGCCATGTGGGCAGGGAAAGTCCAGCATCCATGGCCCGCCTCCGCTCCCCGTGATTCCTCTGCAAGTAAAACTTGCAGGTAAAACTCCTTGCACCGGGAGCAGCCCTGACTCAGTAGGCAGGATGGTGAGGGGCCTTCCAGAGGAACTCACATAAACCTGGCTGTCTTTCTGGAAGAGATGGCTTAGCCAGACTCAACGTATTGAGCTCCATACTGGCATCAGGGTGAAACTGTGATCGACAGGAGGGCAGTTTAGATAATCTCATGGTCCCTTCTGGCCTTAAACTCTATGAATCAAACACCCCCTCCCCGAACTGGGAACAGTACCCAGGAATCCCAACAATTACCCCACTCTACCCACAAGGATAGTGCTTCTCAAATGGGGGGTTGTAACCCCACGGCGGGGTGTGGACTGTGTGTGTGTGTGTGTGTGATGTAAGGCAGCCAGAGGGGTCATGAAGCACTGAAAATTTTACTACCGTTCTAAAGCAAAGAAAATCTGGCTTCTCCACTCCCCACAAAACCTTCCCCTTCAAGGGCAAGTATGCTCTGCGAACCTCTCGAAACACACACACAAATACATTATATGGGCTTATAGTGTTATCATCAAGACATTTCTTATTCTTACTTTTATAGTAAATATAAGGGGATTGTGAAAAATTTTGACTTTGAATAAGGTTGAGAATCCAACCAAGTTAGCAATTCCCAGTTAACCAGTAAGCATCCAAGTGTGAATAGGGTCAGGGCTGGCTGTATAAATGCAAGCATGGTGCCTAAAGCTGCTCAAATATATCACTGCTGCAACTCCTGTCAAACCAGTGGCTGAGTCTGGCCCATTATTCTGAAGTTTCTGATAAGGATTCAGTGTTGCTTAGTGACCACCAGTCTATCCCCATTTTTGGTACCATGCGTGCAGTACATCACACTTCTGCACCCAACCTGAGGCCGCATTCCCCTCCCTGTCCCAGATCCTGTGATTCCCCACCCTCCACCACGGGAAAAGCCTCAGTAATTTCACATTGCTATCCCTGCACAGCGGAGGATGCAGCTTGGGGAAGCTAGGCAGGGAACGTGGTTGCTCATCACCTGATGCTTTGCAGCCTGAGACCCGATTGGTGGAGAAGGGCTGTATTTTTTTTCTCCTCCATGCTGCTTTGATTTTTTTTTCCTCCTCTTCTTTAGGGTGTCTGCTGTTTCCTAGCGCTTGCAAGAGTCTGGGCAGCAGCAAGCAGCAGCAATAGCAGCCGGAGGCAGAGGAGCAGTGTTAGCCCAGAAGGAGGCAGGGGACTGCATGGGAAGGAGCAGCACCTAGCTGGAGAGACTGCTTTTGCAGCCAAGTTTCTGCAAACCAGAAACCTCACCCCAGCTGTGTGCGTGACACACATTTAATACACACGGCAGCCACACTAACTTCTTAGCATCAGAGGTTCCCTGTGGAGACAGGTAAGGCGCTTTTACCTTGTACTCGGAGATGGGGTGTGTGTGTGGTTCTGAGCACCAGACCAGGTGCCATGAACTCCGGAGTGCTGAGCCCAGCCGTGACACTGACTCACTGCGTGGCCTTGGGCAAGTCCCTTATGCCTTTGTTTCCTCATCTGTAAAATGGGAACAAGAAATCCCTCCCTCCCAGGGATTAATCAGTCAAGTCTGGTGAAGCGCATGGAGGACAAGAAGCGCTAGGTAAGTGTTAATAGAGAGGATGGTGCTTCAGAAGCCCTGAGGCAGGAAAAGCCCCCATATAATAAGACAGTACAGCAGGGGAAGGGAGGTTAAGCAGCCCAGGCAAGGGCCCCATCTGTCAATCTCTCCAAGCCCTGGAATCTGTTCCAAGGGCTTGAGAAGACAGCTGTACCTGTCACATTGCTTTTCACTGTCCCCAAGGAAACGACCTTCTCCTTTCTTCACGACACAGCTGATCGGAATGGGGAAGATCGGAGAACTTTAACTGGGTTTCCATGAATGGGGGCTAATGTGTCATGCAGCTCTGACAGCCTGAAATCCCATGCTCTTAAAAAAAGCTGCCACTGGAGACCAGATTGGTGTGTCTGTGTGGGGGGTGTACATAGATGTATGTGGGGCGGGGGGGAAGGAATATGTGTTAATGGCTGTCTGTGAGTGGGTGTGTGTGTGTGCTTGCATGATATATGTGAGTATGGAGTATCTGTGAATGGGTGTGTATGTACTGTATGTGCATGGTTGTATAGTCTGTACGCAAGTATATGGGTGCAGGGTGTGTATGTATGTCTGTTAATGAATGTCTATACCTGAGTATGATTCATGCATGTGCATGGTTTTCTCTGTGTTTGCATGTATGGACATGCATGTAGAGGTATGTATGGTATGTATTTGTATATGAATGCATGTAGATATGTAAATATATATGGGGATGTGTTGTAGGTATATATGTTTATGGGTAATTGTGAGCAGGTATATATGTACTTAGGTGTACATGGCTGTGAGTGGATGCGTTGATTGTGATATGAGTGGATACATGTATGTGGTTGCGAGCATGTGCATGGATGCATAATATGTGTGTGCTTGCAGATGGGTGGTTGTGAATATATGTGGGTGAGTGGGTTTGTATGTATGCATACATATGTGTTTGTGTGTATACAGTTAGAAATGTGTGTGTGTGTATGTGGCTGTGTGCACTAATGTGAATTGGTGTGTTTGTATTTGTATACCTGTAGTTATGTATGTTTCAGTAGGCGTGTGTGTGTATACTCAGGTGTCTGAGTGGCTGTGAATGGGTGTACTTGTGTGTACATGTGCTTGTGAGTGGGTATGTATGTATAATATGTTTGTGCTTGTGTTCAGGCAGTGGTGTGTGTGTGTGCATGTGTAGGTGGCTGTCACATGCGTGTGAGTATGTCTGCATGTGAGTGTGAGGGCTGTGAGGAGGGAGGGGTTGCATGTGAATGGGGGGTGGTTATAAGCTGCACCCTCATACCGCCTGCACTAATCTCTGAGGTTCGGTAACATGCTGCTTTTGGTGATCTTGGCTCCCTACAGCTCAGGTTCTCTAGTTCCTGGCAGGCTCTGCTCAGGGAATTACTCTGCCTGCTAGAGCCTAGGGGATGCAGGGGGCCATTGCTTTCCTATAGGCAGCTAGTAGAAACACTAGGCCACCCAGCCAATTTATTGAACAGCAGGGAGCCCATCTCTTCCAAAACCCCCCTGCTCCATCTCCTTGGTTTGGCTCAGACAGGTGAAAATGGAGCCTGCTGTTCTGAGTGAGGGTGAGAGGGCTGGAAGGAGACCGTGTGGGGCTGATGTGGGGAGATGGACTGGCGTTTAAAGGGCACAGATGCAGGCGAATAAGCAAGGAGGTCAGAATTGTCCCCATCACGAGGCAGGGGTTTGGGACAGGCTGGGTTTGCTTCCCACGTCCCTTCTTTTGAAGTGGCATTCACATCAGAGGCAGGCTGCTAGGCTGGTTCTGCATCAGTCCCCGAAGAGACCAGCGCCCTCCCCACTCCTCCCACACACATGCTGCTCTTTCCTGGCTCTCTCCATGCCCTGCTTTGGATCTGGGCTAGAAGCGTGGGAGCTATCTCCCTTGAGTGCTGGCCGAGGCGCCTTGTTCCCCTTCAGTCAAGTGGCTTTTCATTTACAAATCAGAGGTGGGAATGGAGCCCTCTTTGCTTGCGGGGTGGGGTATTTGTGGGGGGGTGAAATGGGTGTGCACAATTACATGAGTGTGTGCACACACGTGTGCACATGTGTTTATGTCCCAATCCAGGTCTTCCTCTGCCTGTGCATAGTGTAGGTAACGCGTTCCTCTGAGTATGTGTGAGTGTCGCAGCATGAGTGTGTCTTTGTCTCTGTATATTTCTTTCTCTGAACATGCATAGAGAGGGAGTGACAGCTGTATCTGTGCATTCCTTGAGCTCTCTGTGCCTGCGTGTGCATCTCATACATGTGCTTGCCCCTGTTCATACATGTAATTGTGCGTTGTGCCCTGAGCGTGCAGGGAGATAAAGGGAGAGCTACACAGGTGTGCATATGTATGTGTCTCCATTTCGGTACGTCTTTATGTACATGCACATTGGCACCTCTCTTTGACCATGTACAAAGATAAGGTGATAGCTTAACATGTATGTGCTTCCGTTTGCCCCATTCCTGTGTGTGCATCCCCATGCACGTCTGCGTACACAGAAGCAAAGCAATAGCTTCACACATGTGTGCCAGCATCTCCCTGAGTATGTGTGTTTTCCTCTCCATTACTGGACATGTATATGTAGTGCTATTCACTTGTGCCTTGCTTTATACATGCATGTGTACAGCTCTTTTTCTGTGACAGCTACACACACAGTTGGGTCTGTTGCTCTGTGCAGGGGTCTCTTTGTCATTGTTCATGCATGTGCCTCCCTATTTGTGTATGTGCCTTTTCCCCCGTACATACCTGCATATATTTTCCGGTAACAGAGACCAAGCAATTACTTGCACATGTGTGTATCTGCATAGGCCTGTCACTGTTCATATAAGTGCTTTGCCATACATGAATGTGTCTCTCTATACTTGTGCATACACAGAAGCTAAACAATAGCTTGCATGCGTGTATGATGTGGCTGTCTCTCTGTATGTCTTCATGTCTGTGCACTGCCATGCATGTTCTCTCTTTTTGCTCACTTCTCTGTATCTGAGCATGCATCGTGCTGTACCTGTAGGAATCTCTCCTTCTCCACATGCACCTTTTTCTCTCTCCCTCTCTCTGTGGATCGCCACACATGCCTTCACGCCTCTGCATGCGTGGGAGATCTGCATGCATTTATGACTAACTTTGCATGAGCCCATGTACATCAGACTAGCTGAACAGCCTGCTCTGCATTCTTCAAACGCCACTTATTAATTGGAGCTAAAAATGGATTGGAACATTATGCCAATTGCTGCCAGAGACTGATCTGATCTGGTCATCCAAAACCCCTCATTGATACCCGTTGCCAAGGTCTGTGTAATAAAAACACATGTACACGTTGCACCAAATTTGACCGTAGGGCTGCAGATTAGACTTTGTTTGGTGGCACCCCATGCATGATGAGACTTGCGTGTGTGTGTATCTTTTCCTTTCCAAAAACATAGCTTCTCTAAATGCACCATGTCAGGGTTTCTCACTGGACCTCTGGACTGTGCTGTGTTACTGCCGGGGAACCCAGGGATGACCCTGCTAAGGGGTACATAGGAATCACACAGCTCACTACCCCATGGCTCTCGCTGTGCACTCTCGTACTCCGCAGTGAGAGCTGCTTGTACATTCAGTGTAGGTCAGGACCCGTACTGGAAATGCTGTCTGAGTGGCTTCCAATGGCGCGTGGGGCTTCAGGGCATCCAGATCCCCGTGGAGCACTTTCAAAAGGAGAGCAGCAAGCACTCGCTCCTGACAGTATTTTATGCTTTGCTAAGCCCCGCTCGGTGCTGAGATGGGTCTCCGGGTTAGCCGGGCGCTGACGGACTCCCTGTATGGTGGTTGCAGAGGCACATTTCACTTCAGCTCATTCATCCAGTCAGCCTCGCTGTCCGCCCCTTATTGGGCTGTAAGTGCTTTGGGGCAGGGGCCTGGCCAGCTATGAAAGGTGCATTTCCAAGCTCCACCCAAGTGCGTCAACAGGGCACATGGGGCAGTCCAGCGTCTGTTCCCCATCCTCACTCCCTCCTTTGTCCCATCCACCTCCCGCTCTCTTTCTCTCCATTTGCTCCCGATCTCCAGGCTCCAAGCCGAACTCAGCCTCTCTCCCGCTCTGTTTGGATTCCTGGCAGTGCTTTCCCCCTAAGACCAGGTTGTGCAGGGAGCAGAAGCAGCCACACCAAGGGGCCACAAAGTTTGATCCCTCCTTCACCCCTTGCTTCTGGCTGCCATGCCTCTGCCCTCCTTCCTCCAGATACGAGAGGAAAGAACAGCCAGGCTGAGAAATACCACTCTGGAGCAATTTCTCCCCAAGCCCTTCCTCCTGCATCCTCTGCCACACCGAACCAAACGGGGCCAAAGGGCTGAGCTTTTAGCCTACCTGCTGCAGCTGCTTCAAAGCCAAACTCGATCATCAGGAAGTGCTGAGCTTGCACAAAGAACCTCCTCTCCTTGGACAGTATCATGCTGCAGAGAGATAAGCCTCTCCCAGCAGGAGGCGCTAGAGGAAAATGGCATCAGCGCACTGGATCTGTGAATTGGTACAGCGTTCCCAGTGGACAGCGGTGGCTATTACCAACCCACTGACCACCACAACTACCTCCCCTTCCTTTGCCAGCAGCCTCAGCAGGGAGGCTGGACTCCCCTCTGGCTCCAGAGAGGGATGGGCATCAGACCTGAAGCCAGAGGGCCTTGCTCCTCCTCAGTGCTGCCAGCCTGGCACATTTCACCAGAGCTAAATTCACTCGAGGGAAGGGAGGAAAAAGAGTCAATAGAGAAAGGAAAAATACTGGTATTGTTTGGGGGCGCTGAGCAGATGGGACCCAGGCTGGAGCCGAGCAGGGCAGGAAGGGGGCCAATGAATTGCTCCCTGGAACCTTGCATCAGGCCCTCAGCCACAGTCACAAGACACAGCTCTGTTCATTAAACCAGCAGCCTGCTGGCAGGTTGGACAGCAGCTGATTTAAAGGACAGTGTTAATGGCCTGGTCGGATCCGCAAGGATCGGTCTCTAAGCAAACAGCACAGCTGAGACCAGCAGCAGCCGCTGGCTATTAATCTTCACACTGATTGGGCTCCCACCCATGTGGAGCTGTGGCTTTCAGAGCTTTCTGCCCATAGCAGGGTGGTTGGCAGGGGAATGAAGCCAATAGAGATTTGGGGTTGGGGATTATCTCACACTCAGTCACTAACAGCACCATGTCCACAGTAGGCTCAGGATGCCTCTCCTGTCAGAGCCAGCTCCAGGCACCAACGTAGCAAGCAGGTGCCTGGGGCGGCCAATGAAGAGGGGGGCGGCATGTCCGGCCGTTCGGCGGCAGGGCCGTCACTCCCTCTCGGAGCGAAGGACCTGCCGCCGAATTGCCGCCGTAGAATGAAGCGGCAGTAGAGCTGCCCCCGCTTGCGATCGCAACTTTTTTTTTTTTGCTGCTTGGGGCGGCAAAATCGCTAGAGCCGGCCCTGTGTCCTGTCACCTGATTGCTTCCACCCATGTGCACGATGGTTTGGTATTAGTGCAGGCACACACTGGGGCTGCTCACCAGGGCTATGCATACTGGCAGGTTATTATTGTAGGGTTGCTCACATGTGCGGTGTATGTTGGTTGGTTGTTATTGTAGATTTGCTCTTGGGCTGTGCACTCTGGTTGGTTGTTACTGTAGGGTTCTTCACAAGTGCTGTGCACACTTGGTTGTTATTGCAGGGTTGCTCATGAGATGTGTGTACTGGTTGGTTGTCATTGTAGGGTTCTTCACAAGTGCTGTGCATACTGGTTAATTGTTATTCTCGAGTTGCTTTGCACACTAGTTGGTTATTATTGTAGAGTTGCTCATATGTGCTAAGCTGAGGCCTGGATTCATCTCCTCTCCCCCCGATATTAGAAAAGAGTTTGTGGCCGTTTGGTTTTGTTGCATGCAGTTATAAGCAAACAAAAGCGGCCCCACTCGGGTCCTTGTTAACTGTGGCACGGACCCTCTAAAATGTGCATCACCCAGGTAACAGCCTTTCCCCCCTCAGCTAGCGCCTGTTGCTGCGCAACAATAACTCCCTATGGTTGGATATATTGAGTCATCGCAGGGTTAAATTCTGATGTGCTGAATTCTGAGAAATCGCAACACAACGCGAAGGTGTGGGCTGTTCATGTGGCAGCTATAAATAAAAGCACCTGCTTCCCAAACACAAAGGAACCATGACGGCGGGGGGGAAAAGAAGAAAGACAATTAGGAAAATCTGACACGAAACAAACTGTGATCCTGCTGCAGGAGCCTGTGCCCATGTGAGAGAGTAGGGGGTGGGAGGAGGGGAGAGATGGAGTGGGGGAAGAGAAAAGAGAGACATTTGCAAATCTGTCCTTCTAAAGGTCGTGTAGCATCCCTGGGAGAGTAGATGCTGGTCTTGCTAATGGAAGAAACACCAAGGGATCTTTAATGACCACAGCAGCTTAGTTAGAGCTTGATTTTACCTCTCATTGGAAAGCAGCTTTTCAATACTGACTCCAAACATCCTATGCCGATTTGCCAGCACCACTTCTGTCCACTCAGCAGCTCTCCCATCCAAGCACTGACCAGGCCTCAACCTACTTAGCTGGGGAGGGCTCAGCCCCAGGTGCTCAGAGCACAGGGAATTAGGCTTTTTAGCTGCTAGTGATTCACCCAGGGAAGCACAGGTGATCAGACCTGTTCTCTCCAGATAAAAGCCTCGCCCTTTGAAACTGATTGCACATTTATTTCCCAAGAAGCCCGAGCAAAGTGAAGCGAATGTAAAACTCACCAGGGCCAACTCGGTGTGCCCAACCTGCTCAGCCAAGAATACCTCTGTCCCCTTTCATCTGAGGATCAAACTCAAAGCACTTTACAAATATCAGTGGGCGGAGTCTCCATGCCCCCATGGAACAGAGCAGTGGCAACTATTCACAACTGTTCAGATGGGGAAAGTGAGGCACAGAGCGGGATGGGGGAAGTGACTTGCCTAAGATCAAACAATAAATCAGTGGCAGGATAGAATCCAGAATCAAGCAAGCCCAGAGGCCTCAGTGCTGGCTGGGCCTTGGGTATAAAATCAGCTTTCCCTGTAGCACAAAGAGCTGGGGCGGGAGAACATTTACATGTAATTATACATTCCCCAACTCTAAGTCCTACATTGTTGTTTTTCTTCCGCCCCCCCCCCTCCTTCCCGCCTCACATTAAGCAAACATAGCGCCATCCCTTTAAAGAGAAACACCCAGATTATAAAGGTGGCTTCTTGGCAGGGCTCCTTCCCCTCCGCCCAGGGAGCGCTGCAGCGGAAGAGCACCCATGCCTGCCTCTCCAAGTCACATCTCATCTCCTCCTCCCCCACCCCGGGCCAAGTGGATGGAAATGAAATCTCTCCTGATTTACACCTCTGTGTTTGAGCTTAGAGTCTCATGCCTAGCTCCTCCTTATGGAAAAAACTCCTCTCGGGCCTCATAATGCTACAAGGAACTGCAGGTTCAGCCCAGCCCTAGGCTCTCTTGCCTTTTGCTTCTTAAATAATCCCTACATCAAAGCTGCTGGCATCCGTAAAGGTCACAGATTTGGGTTCACTGCAAATGAAAGAGGCGTGGAAGAAATAATGTCGTGCAACCACTCCAGACACCACACGTTGGCCCAGAGCTCAGCGTGCTGAGCAGATGTTGGCTGCTGGGCTTTTCTGAAAACTGGGCTCCCAGGATCACCATGGGAGCTGCTTGGTGCTGAGTGCATTTGGAAATCTGTTCTGTTTGCACTCATGCTGAATGCTGGGTGAAATTCTGCCCATGTACCACTCAGGTTCCATGTACACCCCAAAGCTGCCTATTGGTTGCCATCAGAAGCTAGTAATACATAGTAGAACCCACTTTATTAGTGGGTCTCATGCAGGGCTTGCACCCAGAGTGAATCTGCCTATGTTACCAATTCACAGGTGCCCTTTTTACACATGGAGCACACACTTATGTTGTATGAACACACCCATTACATCCATGCCACATGTACCCATGGGTTCTGCCCACTGCACACATATGTAACACATGCAATGTCATGTGAACCCGTTACCTCTGCTCACACACCGTATACACTTTGTATGCGCATGTTACAAACATACCACCTACACAATCAAAACACACCTTACTGACAGTATCTGCACCCAGTTCACACCCATTCTTTGCACATACATGCACCTTGCACGCCCCGCATATGCTGTTCACTTTCCCTTGCCTGATCCATGCACAACACCCTGCATGCGTGTGCAGTAAACCCCCACTTCCACTGTAACTGCAGTATATGGCTATCTGCCATTCCACCTTGCCCTCTGTACAATGACGGCAATCAAGCTGCTTTAAGCACAGTGCAAAGCAGTGCCTGAAATGACAAAGGGGATGTTAAAACTGGGGGTTACCCAGACACCACCCTGAACCCCTCCCCCCCCTTGGCAGTCTCACATTTTCTCTAGCTCCTGGCATGCACAACCCTCCTCCCCCTTCCCTGCCTGCAATTCCTCTCCTTTCAAAACAAAAAATCCTCCTCAAATCCCTCCTCCTTTCGTGCCTGTTGGCCCAGAGCCCCTTCCCTCCCCAGCACCATCTGCTCCGAATCTGTCCCATTCAAGGCTTGCGATATACTTGCTGGCACCAACACCTGCAAGGTGCCGGCTGCTCTGTCAAACCTCCGTGTGGGCTGACACCCGCTCTTCAGCTGGCGCCATGGATTCAGATGGAATTAATTAGGGCTCCTCCGATGAGAGGGGCACATACATGGGGAGAGGAAGCGAGAGAATGACAGAAGCTGGGGAATCGCTGCCTGAGTTACTGCTCTTTGGGAAGGGCTATTCTCTGTGCTATTATTTGTATTCCAGTAGCTCCAACCAAGATGGTGCTGGGCCCTGCACAGCCACAGGATCAGAGACAGTCCCTGTCCCAAAGAGCTTACACCTTAGATAGAGGAGGCCCGCCAAGGAAGTGTCAGTGGCCCCCTTTTACAGCAGGGGAATTGAAGCACAGAGCGGCGAGGGGTCAGTTTTTCAAGGGCTCACCACCCACAGCTGGGGCCAGATTTTTCCATAGCGCCCAACACAGCATGTGCTGGCCGTCTGGTGCCTATCAGGGGCACACCCACAGCACAGTCCTTTTGGAAATCTGACAGTAAGTGACCTATGTAAAGCACCAAGGGAGTCCAGGAACTCGGAATCCCAGGTCCCCCCCCCCCCCCCCGACGTCCTGGGCCAGTGCATTGACAACAAGGTACAACTGGGCCGTGCTCAGCCATTCCCAGCATGGCCTCCTAGCCATGTGAGCACCCATGCTTCCCGAGTCCCAGCTCCCCCCCGCTCCCCCTTCATTTAGGGCCAGCATTTTCACTCCCCGTTGGCAGAGCTGTGACCACAGAAGCTGCGTGTGCATCCAGATAGCTGTGTAAACATACACCTCCACAGAGTACTCTCTCTCCAGTGCTGGCAGAGGGGCTGCCCCAGAGCACCCCCAAATTCTCACATCGGGGACGAGAATCTGCAATGGAGTCCCATGCTGGGGCAGGGGGTTCTGCCCTGGGGCCATGCTGTGGGCTGAAGGCTAAACCCACTCTGGTGAAGGGAAATCTCTCCATTGACTCTAATGGGCTCCGGATCTGGTCGTGAGGCCAATTGATTTTATGGCCTCTACCCCTCGGTTGCCCGTCACCATACTGATCCCCTCACTGTGCCGTAGGAGCCAGGCGGGTTGGACCATGGAGCTGCTCTCCACCCCCCGCAGCATCGAGATCAACAACATCACGTGCGACTCGTTCCGGATCTCCTGGGCCATGGACGGGGGAGACCTGGAGAGAGTCACCCACTACTTCATCGACCTCAACAAGAAGGAGAACAAGAACTCCAACAAATTCAAACACAGGGTGAGCAAGGGGCCGGGGGAAATGTGGGTAGCAACTGGATGCTCGTTGCCACCCTCAGCCAACGATTGTTCTCCCGAGTGCTCAGCCCAGCGCTGAGTCACTCCCCGTGTAGCCATCGGCTGCCATCTCTTTCTCACAGCACAGCTGCGTATCTACATCCCAGATGCCTCCAAACTGGGTCCCTTTGTTGGCAGCTCCAGTGAAGGACCCAAGGGGTGCATGTCCTATGGAGCATGGAAGAGGTTCCTTCAGGGTAGGGACTAGGTTCATGGGTGGGGACAGCATGGGGGGGGTGCTGTGCCTGGTGCTGTGGGTAACTAGAAGAGTCAGGTTCAAAGCCCGGTCCCACTACTGTCAAAATCCTTCAGTGGGAGAAGGATTTGGATCTGAACCCCTCAGACTCTCAGCCCACTAGTGTCACCAGCCCAAGATGCCTGAGCCAGGAAAAAGAGCCTCCTTTCCCCACCCAACTCTGCTGTGAAGTTAAGAGGTTTTGCCTGGGGAGATTTGATGCCAGGGGGCCAGAGCAGCAGTGAGCCCTGGGAGACTTGAGGCCTGCTCCCATGAACCAGTGTGGGGATGGGTGAGGAGGCAGCTGTACCCCTCAAATCAGCATGGAGAGGAGTGCTAAACGTACCCTCCAACACATAACCAGAGGAGACGTGGAGTGAATTACTCACTCTTCCTTCTCCCTCTGGAACAGAGTCACTAATTCAGGATCCTTTTAGCACGGGTGGTTACCAAGGTGATGCTATTTAATGTTAAACATTATTTTTTTCCCCCTCCCCAATAATAAGCTTCTTTTTCCCCTACGTCTCCTGACTCTTCAGCATTTGCCGTTGCCACAGAAACGGCACTGCGCTGCACTGATGCTTTTGTGGCCTACTGACACGACAATTTATTCCTTAAAACAAAGGTTTTCAGGACACCTCAGAGCTTGTTTGGCTGTTTCCAGGGCTCTGAGAGATTTCTTTGCCCATCTTGCATGCAAGAGGAGTTGGGCACAACTCTTGCTGCGTGGGGTGGGATGTATATTGGCGCCTTAGAGGTGCAACACAGAAGGCACCATTTCAGACATTGCTCAAACAGAAAAAGAATTAGTGTTCCATAGGACTGAATGCTATGTTAATTGATACTGCAGCATTCTGCAGTAACAAGTACTACAGTATTCCACAGTGATGAATGCCATGGCAATAATTACTACAGTGTTACGCAGAAATGAATGCCATGGCAATAATGACAACAATGTTCTGCAATATCAAGTACTGCAGTGTTCCACTGCAGTGAGTATCGTGTCAATAGATACTACATATTCTGCAGTAACAGGTACTACAACAGTAAATACCATGGTAATAAATTATTCTGCAATAACAAGTACCAGAGTATTCCACAGATATTAATAGTATGCTAATGAATATTATAATACTCTGCAGTAACAGATACGACAGTATTCCACTTCAGTAGATACTATGGCACCAAATACTACAGTAACAGATATTAATAACAGTACTACTCTGCAGTGTACTACAGTAATGAGTGCTATGGTGATGCTAGAAAGCAATGGTATTCTATTATAGTGAATTTGGCAGCATTCTCGGTCAGTCTATGCTGTATAAGAGCAACACAGTAGTAGTGACAGTTGTTTTAGAGTAGTGGCCACTGTAGCAATATACCCAACAGTTTTCCACGCCAGTAGGTCATGCAGCTCCCTGTACAGCAGATTGTGGAGCCATGGCGGTTGTCATTGTAATAGACTAAGATTGTTTTTAAGAAGGGTTTTCCCAAGGTCTCCATGACCTGCCTCTCTGTTCATCATGGGCAGGCACAGGCTCCCTTACAGGCATGCACATCCAGTTCAGGGGAGCTGCTGGAGGGTCTTGCCAGATCAGCCTTGTGCAATGCTCTGAGGCTATGCCTGGATGGGTGCTGTACTTCCCAGGGTACCAGGGCCCGGGTGTCATGCTGCTCGTAGGAGGAGGCTTTGGTGGGGGGAATCACTAGCCACACTGCTTCAATACCAAGCCTGGTTTATTTTTGCATGTGTGGCATGGCTCTTGCCCTTGAACAGGATGTGCCCACCAAGCTGGTCGCCAAGGCAGTCCCACTGCCCATGACTGTGAGGGGCCACTGGTTCCTGAGCCCCAGGACAGAGTACAGCGTGGCCGTGCAGACAGCGGTGAAGCAGAGTGATGGGGAGTACCTGGTGTCCGGCTGGAGCGAGACCGTGGAGTTCTGCACGGGGGGTGAGTGTGCCCTGATGAATCAGGAGCAATAGCTGGTAGCGGAACCTCAGCCACATGGTCCGTGCCCAGCTGGCACAGACTGTGATGAGCCCCCGCGGCCCGTCCTCGGAAGGGAATCTCCAGCCTGCTGCACCACAGAGGGGAATTGGTTCTCAGAGCTGAGCTCACTGTGGACCCACATCCGATCTGCCCTGGGGGGGGGGGAATCCTCTGTCGTGTCATACTGCTTATGCAAGGTCTGGGGAGTTCACGCTGTTTGTGCGAGCCCTGGGGGGAGGGGGAGATTCATGTTGCTTGAATATTAAACGAGAACTGAGCTGCCCATGAGTTGCCCCCTGAGGCTCCAGCCTCTTTGTGCAGCCATTTCTCTTAGCCAGCGACTGCTCCCTAATGGGCCTGCTGCCAAGTCTGAGGGGGCTGGCACAGACCGGCTGCCACCAGCACAATGCCCACAAATAGATTCCTTTCTCCTGCATTAGCTGGGGTGGGGTCAGAGGGGGGGATCGTTGCTCCCCTGCTTTGCTTTCAGACAGGTTGGAGCCCCCCCCCCCAATTCCATAGTGACAAGCAGCAGAGGGAGGCTTTGTGTGTGCCCCTGCCCGTCCCCCCTCCCAAATTGGCCAGGGAGCTCTCTGTTCCCCAACAATCCCCGGTCCTCTGAGCCTTGGAGCAATGGTACTGCTATCCAGGGGCATCCTATGAAGTCAAAGACCCCCTGCCCTGGGGCAGGAGCCTATTTGCAGGCTGTGGGTGTTCTGGGGCTGGGCTGAGGAGAAAGGGGACAGAAGAGGGGGATGGATGCAAGGCAGCCCAAGAGGGGCGGGAGCGTCCTGTGCTAAAGGCATATAAAAAAACCAAGAGCAGTGGGGGCTGCTGACTTTGAGGCAGAACAGAGGCTGCGGGGGGTGGGGGTGGGGTGGGGGTGGAGGTAGCAAAACCCTGTCTTGTGGAGCAACAGTGGAAGAGTGGGAGGCTTAGGGTGTGGGAGCTAGTCACACCCTGAGGGGGAAGCAAAGGGAGGGAGGAGCTGGCTGCTGCCAGCTAGGGGAAAGGGTAGGAACCGGTTGTAAAGGCAGGGGAAGGAATAAACAAAGGGGTGGGGGGAGCTGGCTGCAGCCCTAGGAGAGAGGCAGAAAGATGGGAATGGGGAGGGGGAGCTGTCTGATTGCCACAGGTGCAAAGGGGGAGCCAGCCTGAGCTGCTGGGGAGCCAGCTGTCTGGAGGGAGTGGGGAGGGGCCCAGCAGGTTGCAGAGGGGTGGGTAGGTGGGGAGCTGGCTGCACTGATGTAGGTGATGGCCAATGTCTCCCTCCCCCTTGCAGACTATGCTAAGGAGCACCTGGCCCAGCTGCAGGAGAAGGCTGAGCTCATTGCGGGCAGGATGCTCAGATTCTCGGTCTTCTATAGGAACCAGCACAAGGAATATTTCCAGCACGTCAGGTAACACCCCCTTACCACCCCCACCCCCCACGGCTCCCCTAGCAGGGCCGGAACACACACCCAGCCTAGCAAATGCAGGGGGTTTGGGGGGAAGAAGCACCATCTCCAGGAGATGTTTCCCTCACCTAGAATGAGAGGGCACAAAGAACACAGAGCTGGGACTGCAAGGCTGGGCTCCCCTCTGACCCTGTCCTGTCCCAGACCTATCTGCACTCGCTCAAAAGTAAAACCGATTTCAAACACACTCCCCGAGTTGGGAATAGAACCAGGAGTCCTGATGCCTGGTCCCCTGTTTTAACCCATAGACGAAACCCCACCCCTCTCTCAAAGCTGGGAATAGGACCCCGGAGTCCTGGTTCAAATCCCACTCCCTGCTCTAACCACTAGTCCACAAACACTAGCTTGTGGTGTACCCACACCAGCAAATAGTATCCGAACTGGGATTTCAGTGGGGGTGTGCTGGGGTAACCCCGAGGAGCAGCTAGTCTCTAGTGCAGCCGATGGAGCACAAGAGCCATACCCCCTCCACTGGGCTGACACTCTCTCTCCCCCTGCCTCTCAGGATGCATTGTGGGAACATGATGAAGCCCTCCCTGAAGGACAACAGTGGGAGCCACGGCTCACCCACCAGCGGCATGCTGCATGGGATCTTCTTCAGCTGCAACACCGAATTCAACACAGGCCAGCCCCCCCAGGACTCGCCCTACGGCCGCTACCGCTTCCAGATCCCCGCCCAGCGCCTCTTCAGCCCCAACACCAACCTCTACTTTGCGGACTTCTACTGCATGTACACCGCCTACCACTATGTCGTCCTGGTGCTGGCCCCCAAGGGCTCCCCGGGAGACCACTTCTGCCGGGAGCGCCTGCCCCAGCTGGACATTTCCTGCAACAAGTTCCTGACCTGCTGCATGGAGGACGGCGAGCTGGTCTATCACCACGCCCAGGACATCATCCTGGAGGTCATATACACCGAGCCCGTCGACCTCAGCCTGGGCGTGCTGGGAGAGATCAGCGGCCACCAACTCATGAGCCTCTCCACTGCTGATGCCAAAAAAGACCCCAGCTGCAAGACGTGCAACATCAGCGTGGGGCGCTAGTGACTTGAGGGGGGAGCTGGAGGGGATGCGTGTGTGGGGAGGCATGCATGAGGCAGGACTGGACTAACCTGAGGCTCTCTGCAATGGACATGGTCTGGGATGGGGGCAGGGGTGGAAACCGGGACCTGGATGGGAGTTGTGGCCGGAGTGAGTGTGGACTGTGGATTTCCAATCTCTCTGTGCATGCCTCGCTGTCCAATGTCAATATGGACTTGGCAGGATCCCGGCCCGAGTGAGAGAGGACCTCCGGTGCTGCTCAGATGGGATCTTGGCTTCCATTGACTCCTGCAGACAAACCCTGGTCAGTGTGAGAAGGGAAACTCCTGAGCTCCTGAGCTGGCTGCTAATCTGCTTCACGCCAAGGTGGAAAGACCCGCCCCTTCTGCACTTGCCCCACTGGGAAGTGGGAGCTCCAGCCCCCTCGGAACCAAGCTGCCCATTCATTGCCATTTTCATGTTGGAAAGAACAGGAGCTTTGGGTTAATTCGGAAATGTTGTCATCAGGGGAACCCGGAGCTCTTCCCTCTCTGATATGAGCTCCCCTTCTCCTAGGTCTGCCCCTTCAGCCCTCCCTTACCCTGTCAATTCAATGAGCCCCTCCCTTTCCGCTACTCCCCCCAACCCTGCCCTTTGCTAAGCGCTCAGTCAACTCCTACCTTGCCCAGGTGGGCTAGATCCTCACCTGCCACCTGATTCCCACCTGGGGAGCCCTGAAGGGTATGTCCCACTGCAGCTGGGAGCCAGCCTCCTAGCCCAGGGAGATAGATTTGCACGGGGGGGGAGCTTGTGAACCCAGCATGCACTTAATCACCTAGCCCAGGTGTGGGTCCTAGCTTAGATGGCCAGCTGTGAAACTAGAGCCTGCTGTTTTCTCCTGGTTGGGACTTTCAGCTATTGGAGGCTTGGCAGGCTCAGGAAAGAGCATGCAGGTACCTCACCCTCAGCTCCCTCCATCCAGGCTTTGTCTCAGCCCCAGGCTGTCCTGGAGCTTCTTGCTTCACAGCCTTTATTTACCTGGTTAAGCGCCATGTAGGATGGGCGAGCGGCCCCATTGCAAGTCCCGACAGGCCCCGTGGCACTCCTGGGGTGTGTTGGAATTCCCGGGGGTGGCTGCAGCATGAATGTACCTGCTCCCCTGTCTCAGGTGGAGCCTAGCCCTGCCCAGGAGGCCCCCTCCCGCCCCGGCTGGGCGGGGGAGGAATGCAGCCTCCCTGCTTGTGACTTCAGCCATGTCCTGGAGTGATCTGCCAGCTTCTGGGGTGAGGAATAATTTCAGCCTCTCTTCCTTTTGTCCCCCTTGCCCACTCCCACCTCCAAGCACGGCTCTCCCCTGGCCTCCCGCCACTGTGCACCATGGAACCAGGCTGATCGGAGCGCTGGACCTCCTTGCTGCTACCATGTCCCTCGGGCATGATCTGCTTGCCATGCTACGGCCACTGATGTGTTGCCCCAAGAGGGATCTTGAGGCGATGGGTGAAGAGAGGCTTGGCTAGATCCCAAGCCATTCACAGCAGAGCCCCATTCTTGCTTCAACCTAACTTGTCCATCACTTGAGGCAGCCTGAGCCTAGCAGAACTTCCTCACGCTCCTGCCCCAGGCCCGCCCTGCTCCCCACACCAACCACCTCCTCCCAAGGCTGGGCCTCTCTCCCTCCTCTTTATAAATAGTGCTGGGCTTTCTGTGCTATGTGAAAACTTTAGCTTTCCAGGGGAGTCTGCCGGCACCCAGTCTGCTCGAACATGTGGCGTGAGGCGCCCAGCAGCCTTCTAGCCATGCCTGCGAGCTGTCCTTGGCCCCGAGACAGGACAGGATGAGGGGGCATCTCCTAAGTTGGAAGAGAGATGCAGAGTCTGCCCTTCACCACACCCCGCTGCAGATTGGGGCCAGGGCCTGGAGGACAGAGGCAACAGGGATGTTCTGTGTGGAGAGGTTTTTCGGCATCTGGAAATCAGATAAGACCCACAGAGGAGCTTGTGGGCATCCAAAGCAGCAGGTCCAATCAAATGAACTAAGGACTCTGGTACCAACAGCTGGAAGATGTTCGGCGTCCGAGAATTCTGATTGCTGTCCTCTTCACCAGCAGGGGGTTGAACCCAGGAACCTTCAGCTTTAAAAGCCTGAGCTGGTACTGTGTGAGTTAAAGGAGCAAGTCCCCCTGCTAGCAGCAGAAGTAGTAGATTCACAACAGATTTTATGTAGACCAGCCACTAGCAGCAGATAAAGATCCTATAGTTTCCTGGTGAGCAGTCATATTCTATACCCGGCATGTCCCCAGCTGCCCAGAGAAATAGAGCAGGGCGTTTATTATCAAGCAGTCACCCTTAAAAGGGAGGGAAATGTCAAGCGCTGGCCATTGCTCCGGGAAGGGAGGCCCTGCTCTGGCGAGCACAGTAGTGTTTTCATTCTTAGTGGCGTTTGGGGTGCTTGAGCATCCGGCTGTGCAGTGTTTGCTGTGTGCCGTCGCGGTGTTGTGCTGTTAGTGCTGCAGCCAGGAAGCGATAAGGACCTTGGCTTTTTTTACACTAGCTTTTGATTTTCCCCTCATACTGCCAAATCCAGCCACGCCAACTAAAAAACCCCCACTCGTCCATTGGGATGTGGCTTGTGCAGAGGCTGATGATGCCCACAGGCAGTGCATGGTTTCCTGGCTGGTCTCTGGCCTGTGTGTGGATACTGACACGGAGGTCCCAAAGGCTGCTGCATTCTTGGAAGCTTCTCCAAGCAGTAACATTGATAGATCACTCCAGCAACGGCCACAGGATTTACAGCACCATGTGACTTATGTTTCATTGCTCGTGGCAATGTGAGAATTGAGGTAATATACTGGAGATGGGTGCAGGCAGGGAGTGGTAGGTGTGACAGTCAGCCTTCCCTGGGGACAGGCGGAGGAGGGTGGTGGTGACTAAGGGTGTGTCCACAGTGCGATGAAAGATCCACGGCACAGCTATGGCGGGCCTGGGTCAGCTGCCGCAGGCTCATGGGGCTCAGGCGGTGGGGTTATAAAATTGCAATATAGACATTCAAGCTCCCCCAAGGTTATGAGGGGGGTGGGTCTCAGAGCCTGGGCTCCAGCCCGAGTCGGAACATCTCCACTGCAATTTTTAGCCCTGCAGCCCAAGCCCAAGTCAGCTGACATGGGCTCTGAGACCCAATGCCATGGGTTTTTTATTGCAGTGTAGACCTACCCGGAGAGTCTTCCTTGGAGACAGAAGGAGGAGAGGGGTTGGTGACAATCGGCCTTTCCTAGAGACAGCTGGATGGGGGAGGTGGTGAGTGGGATTGACAGTTTCTCTAGAGACGGGAGGAGGAGGTGTGTGGCACAGCTGACTGTGAACTCGTTGAATCAGTGGGCCCAGTTCAGAGGTGTTGTGTAAGGGGGTTGTAAGTTGCCCATTGGCCAATGCGTGTGACAGTCAGGGAGTCGAGGCTGGTGTAACGCGCACTCTGGAGCAGGAGGTTGATTGAACTTAGACTGACGTAGGTGCCCCCATGAGACCAGGAGGGGAGAGTCAGAATCTGGCTGGGAGGGTGTCTACAAGGGGGGAGCGGCTCTCTGCTTGGGAGCTTCTTGTTGTCCCTTTAAAGGTGACATAGGCTAGGTTTCCCTTTCCGCAGCATCAGGGTGGGAGCCAGAAGGGGCCGTGTCTGATCTGAGAGACTCCATCTCCCTTTGCCCTCTGTGCCCCACACGTGGCTGACAACCGCAGCATGGCGCTTGTGTGGCAGCGTCCGCACCATCCCTGGCCTGATGTGGTGCTTTTCCAGTCTCTGTGTATGATGCACGCTGTAAAGAAAACCCCTTACAAACCTGTGCTGTGCTGACAGTGTGTATCAATAAACTAACAACCTGTGTGCAGCCCAGCCTGCTACTTGCATTGGTGTCTCGGGGCAGCTGTGTGTGTGTGTGTGTGTGTGTGTGTGTGTGTGTGTGTGTGTGTGTGTGTGTGGGGGCGCACCAGGGAGGTGATCCAATTTCAAGGAGAGGGCTTTTATATATGGCTGTGCATGAGGCAGTGGGAAATTTGTGGGTATGGGGGCTGCAGTGGCTGGTCCATTGCTGAAACTCTCCCAACTGAACGGAGCCTGAAATGTCTTCTAAGTTCAAAAGGAAGAAAAGCTTAAAAACTGATGAGGTTGCAATGGTGAACGTAGAGTCCCCACCCCATCCCAGCAACCATGTCCTGTTAAGTAACTCTGCCACTTGACCTCCTGCCTGGCCTCAAGATACCCTCCAGCTCAGTAATCTCTGGGGTTATTGCTGTAGCATTCCCCCATGAAGGCCTCTCTGTACAGCTGGGGTGCTCCTGGGTGGCTAACATGGCTTCCCTGTTTCTTTTGGGGGGTCTCTGTACTGAAGGTCTTCCTAAGCAGACTCATGATGGGCTACCAAATTGGCTTCTCCCTCTCCCACCTGCTGGTGTCTCAAAACATGGGGATCAGTTTAGGACTCTGAATGAATAGGCCCCCATAGAACACACCAACTAAGGAGGAATGGCTGCTACCCACCACAATTGCAATGGGATGGATGGATGGATGGAGTCTTGAGGGGACATTCATGATCTTGTGAGATCAGCGCAACCTCCGTCTGACACTAACAGGGCCACGTTTGGGTGATTTTGCTCTGGCTTTGAGCCATGACATTATGGGGTCTTGACACAACAGGAGTAGCCTGCAGGATGAACTAGGAATTTTACCCTACTTTAAAGAATTGCTACACTATTCCATAGTAATTGATACTGTAGTATACGCCATAGAAACAGATCCAGCAGCGCTGCTCAACTGTATTTAATACTACAGTACTAAAAAAACAGAACAATGGTCAACAGAAATGAATACTATGCTATTCTACAGTAAACAATATTATCGAATTTCAAAGAGCATATCACTGCTCAGCAGTAGTTAATACTACAGCAACAAAAAACACAACAGTATCCTGCAGTAATGACCCCAAGCACAATAGGTTACAAAAGAGTTTCTACTAGGTTAAATCCTACAGTCCTTACTCAGTGTTTGACTTTGCCTGAGTAAGGACTGTGGAGTATAGCCCACCCTACTTGGCATTATCACTACAGAAGACTGCAGTATTTCTCCCTGTGAGGGTGGAGAGGATCTTGCAGCCCATGGGTCCATTCCCCTCCTCCCCATCTGCCCTGAGGTGACTCGAATGCTGCTCACAGACTGGCCACTCACCTTGCAATCAGGTCTGCAGAGTTTGGCTAACGCTCTGTTTTTGGAACTGGGCACAAAGTCCCAGATCCCCAAAGGTATTTAGGCACCTTACTCCCATGGGAATTAGGTGCCTAAGTACCTTTGAGGATCTGTGCACAAAGTGCCTTCAAATCAGAGGAAAAGAATTTGCAATGAACACAAACAAAGCGGGAAGAGGTTTCGGATTCAGAACATAGAAGTCACTACTTCACAGCAGCCCTGAAGTCAGTCTAGTCTGGAATTCTGTCTCCTGCTGCATTGACTAGAACATGGGTGCATCTAGCCTGGTCTCCAACGGCACCAGTATCCGGTCTCGATCTACACTGAGAGAGCCCAGTGCCCTCTCTCTTGGTCTCCATCTGCATTGAGATAGACCATCCAGCACAGAATCCTGCCTCCAGCTGTACTGGGACTCACTAATGGTCCATCTAGGCTGGTGTCCAGTCTGTTATCAGTAAGAAATGCCAAATGCTTCAGGGGTGGTAAAAAAAATAAATAAAAGCTTCACTCATCATGCAGAGCATTCCAAGCTGTGACAGTTTAAATGCCTGTGATTTCATAGATGTTACCAGTAAGACATTTTAAATTACTCATCTAAAATGCTGCAAAATTCATCTCCATAAGAGCAAGGCGCTTCAGAAGCTGCCTGGCAATTAATCTAGAATGAGCGAGGCTTGGCACGTCTGCATCACGCACCTGGCCAACTGTGCGGTACAATGCTAGGCAGGGGTGAGAGTGCAGGGTCTCCTCCTGACCCCTGGCCGGTGGACAGCCTGTGCAGGGGAGCATGAGGGTCGATGGCCCATGAAATTTTTATCCCAGCAGGTGTCATTGCAGATGTCATTCTTCTTTATCCCAGAATCTGTTGTTATTAAATTATATATGAAAAGATCCTATTCACACACAAGTTCCCGTTGCAAATTAGGCAAGCTACAGAGAGAGAGAGAGAGAGAGAGAGAGAGAGAGAGAGAGAGACGAGACACTAGACTAAATAAAGTA